ACACACACACACACACACACACACACACACACACTATATGAACAAGTGGAATGGTTTGGATAACGACGCACCAAAGAGGATCTCTACCTTACAATATAAATTAAAGGGAAACTGACAGATTTATGATCATATATTTTAGTTAATAGTGAAATATTAAATGGTTATTTATTCTGATCACATCATATTGAATTTTTGTAAAAAAAAATTTAAACGAATTTTTTTACACCAAAATAATTTAGGGGTCTTTAAAATATTTTAGGGGGGCTCCAGCCCCACTAAAATAGGCCTAGTGATGCCACTGGCTGCAAGTAAACATCAGATGTATTTGTTGGTGTGGCGTGTTGCTACAGGTGTAAAAACCTTGATGCCTTTTTGAAAACAAGTTCTGTGAATTAAATGTGATCACACTGAACTTTTCGCTGCAACAAGCAAAAAGGGTGGACGTTTGAAGATAAAAAAAAGTTATTCCATGAAAATAAGACCAAAATAACAGCAGAGTGGATCCATCGTGTTTTGAGTTACGTGGAAACATTTTTTCTTCTTTCATCTTTTAGATGAAAAAAAATTTCTACAAATTCGTGAAGAAAACATCAGGATTTGACAATAAAAAGAGGACGGCCTCTACCAAACATTAAAGATYCACGAGGCTTCGGAATTCACTTCTGAAGAGGCTCAAACTGCAGGTTTCAGTGAAAGGGTCGTGAAAATATCTTTGGTTGAACCTCTGTGGATAGATGTGAAGAGTCCATGTCAGGATCCGAACTCTGCAAGACAGATAAACAGGGTAAACAAGATTTATTTACCAGTTTGTAAGAACTCTGGACTCCCTCATTTTCAAACTGTTTGATGCTCATCACCCACTGCTTTTCATGCAAAAGGTCTGGACTAAAATCATGTTTGAAAAAAGGACAGTTCAACCACTTTGAGCTAAYGCTAACTTAACACCATGTGCAGTCTCATGCACTGATCACAGTTAGCCCTTAGGAGTTTGTGTAGAAAACAAATTCCAGCTATACCACACCAAATTCTAACTTTGTCAAACCAACAGCCGTTTATGTGTTTTCAAAGGTCAGTTGGTTGAGTTGAGTCAATTAGATGATCATTTTCTGAAAACTTTGTTAAAATCTGCTCAGTGGCTCATAATATACAGGTATTTGCTGATGCAGACAAATGAACACAGACATGGGCACCTGATACCTCGTATCCCCAGTGATGAAATTTKTCCTCTGCATTTAACCCGTTACTCATGAGATACACTCAAATAGAGCAACGGGCAGCTGCAGTGGGGTGCGAAAGTTTGGGCAGCCTTGTTAATTTTCCTGATTTACCTTTATAAATCATTGATTGTTTGGATAAAAAAACAGTAAAATATATCATATAGGGAACAAACACAGTGATATTTGAGAAGTGAAATGAAGTTTATATGATTTACAGAAAGTGTGCAATAACTGTTTAAACAAAATTAGGCATAAATGGGCACTAAAAAAACTTAACTAAAAAAACCCCACTCCTTTCGCAGAAAGGAGGGTCTACTTTAGGCAGAGGTGCTCCTCTGGATTGTGGTTGAAGGTATTTTAGATCATTCTTCTTTACAAACATCTATAGTTCATTCAGGTTTGATGGTTTCCAAACACAGACAGCTGTTTTTCTTGGAGTGCTGTGTTCTTTTTCCTCCATGCATAATAGTCCTTGTTCCTTGTTCTGCCCAAATAACTCTATTTTAGTTTCATCAGTCCACAGCACCTTATTCCAAAATGAAGCCGGCTTGTCCAAATGTGCTTTAACATACCTCAAGCAGCTCTGTTTGTGATGTGGGCGGAGAAAAGGCTTCCTCTGCATCACTCTCACATAGAGCATCTCCTTGTGTAAAGTGTGCTGAATAGTTGAACGATGCACAGTGACTCCATCAGCAGCAAGATGATGTTGTAGGTSTTTGGTGCTGGTCTGTGGGTTGACTCTGACTGTTCTCAACATCCTTCACTTCTGTTTATTCCAGATTTGTCTTTGTCTACCACTTCGATCCTTGACTTGAACTGTGCCTGTGATCCTCCATTTTCTCACAATGTTTCTCACAGTGGAGACTGAAAGCTGAAATCTCTGAGATAGCTTTCTGTATCCTTCCCCTAAACCATGACGGTGAACAATCTTTGTTTTCAGCTCATTTGAAAGTTGTTTTCAGACTCCCATGATGCCACTCTTCAGAGAAGATGCAAAGAGGAGAAAAACTTACTATTGCCCCCATTAAATGCCCTTTCTCATTTTTGGAGTCACCTGTATGGAGGTCAAGCGTCACTCAACTTACCAAACCAAATTTGAGTTCCAGTGATTAGTTCTAAAGGTTTTGAAATCAATAAAATGACAACAGTGCCCAAATTTATGCACCTGCCTATGTTTGTTTAACCAAATATTGCACACTTTCTGTGAATCACATCAACTTCATATCACTTCTCAAATATCACWGTGTTTGTCCTGCATTTCCTCACTCAGCTGCTGTRTGTATTCACTCTACTGTTCATGTTTTATTTACAGTTATTTCCTTCATTAACATGTTTTTTTTTGCATCCCATAGAAACTGCACCTGGACCAATTGTGTCCAGTTATTCTGTCTCTTCCCTGTCCTCAGGTCAAAGCAGATGGCTGCTTGTCTAGAGTCTGGTTCTGGTTCTACAGGAGGTTTCCTCTTGTTAAAAAGGTTCCTTGTCTTTCTTTTCAATGAGCTGCTCAGGATGGATGATTGTGACAAAGTGAAGATTTGATACAATCTGCTGGTTTAGACAAAAACTTTTACTAACTGCATTTATAATGTAAGTGAATGTTTTTGTATAGTGCCCTGAAACCACTTTTGTTGTAATTTGGCTTTGTGTATAAATAAAATGAAAACAAATTAATTGAAATTGCTCACTTTGCAGAGCAGACATGAGCAGTAGTTTCAAACTGAAACCTTAAAGGGACACACAAGTTGCATCAGTAGAACCAGGAGTTGCATCTACAGGTCATGCTCCTCAGTGCTCACACATGCAGCACATCTGGCAGCAGAAACCCTTCCAGYTCCATCAGTTTAACAATCCAGATGTTTTCAAACTGTCTTTGGCTCAGAAAGATGAAATCTGGTGTACATTTAGTTCTTGAATTATTCACACGCATTTTGTTTTTAGTAATTCAGAGCTGTCAACTCAAGCAACTCTGAAAGCACTGTTACAAAAAGTGAGCATCCTGGTATGAACTCGTCCAATATCAGAAGACCTGAAGTCCCTGAACAGAGTTTAGGAGTGAAAGAGGAGGAGCACAGTCATGCAGTGATTTTGCAGGAAAACATAAAAGGAAACYGGTAGAGCTGGATGAGAGTTTGGAGCATTGAGTTAGTTCCTGGCATATATAATAAAAATACCATTTTTTAGATACTAACATTTGCTGCCAAAGGGAGAAAAAGTTCAAAGGAAACCTCTGAAAGATCTTCAGAGATCTTGGGAAACTACTGAACAAGACCACTTTAAAAGATGTCATCACTGCATGCAGTACAACCTTTCCCCACTAGATGTCACTCTAAACCAACACTTGGTTTTTCTGTCCTTATTAGGACTGTTCATTGACTTCCATTCATTTTCAGTCGTTTTTATAGGCAAACCATGACCCCTTTCCCTAAACCTAACCTAAAATCAGTTCACAACTTAGACCTAAACCGAACCCACAACCCAAAAATGGAGTCTTAGGTTTCCATAAGGACTACAAGGTAGGTGTGTATATGCAATAAAATGTTTCATAAAGGTAACAAATACAAGAACACAAACACACACAGATCACAAATATTAGGAAGCACGGTGAATAGCTGCTGGCATGTTCTTATAAAATATGGACCTGCAGGAAAAAAAAAACTACTTTTTTTTCTTCAGGTCTGCGCATCTTGTTTGTCCCTCTCTGAGGTCGAGCGGTATTCATGTATTCACCAGRTGACACCATTAGGGGGCGCGTCTCCTCCCTTGCTCTCTCCTCTGCATGAGTCTGGAATTCTACTACAGACCAAACGATTATGTAATGTTTACTATTATGGCTCCTTTCCTGTGACTGGCAGCAGCCTCGTTTCGTTTTGTTCTTGCAGAGTCTGAAGGTCACCGTGTAAATGTCATGTAACAAAGTGATCGCACGTGCAAGAAACCTGTGTCACAGGTGCTCATCATCATCATCATCATCATCATCATCATCATCATCATCATCATCATCATCATCATAGCATGCACATCTTTTTAGTCAGCACTTGGGTTCATCTCCACCACTGCCTTGCAAGTTACAAACACTGGGGGGTTAGCGAGGAGTTTACGACAGGCCACGCCCCCTTAGGCCAGCTGGTGGCAACACTCGTGGTGACATCACCGCAGCGTGCGCCCATTGGCCCCGAGACGTGGCACGCCGGCCCAATCGCCTGCCGGGGAAGTGACGTCAGCCGAGACGGGTCCCGTTCACTTTCAACGGAGTGGGCGGGGCTGAGGGCATCGTGGACGTCAGAGTGAGCCGGATCCTGCGCTGTGATTGGCTGGACGCAGTGAAAGTGAGAGTCTGTTGCTGAGAGAAAAGCGAGAGGGGAGAGCGGCGGCTCGGCTGCGCCACACCAGTGAAGATCATCTTCGAAACTAATTTCTGAACCCCCTCAGTGTTTCCCCTCCTCGTCGTGGCTTTCACTGCCTTTATTAGAATGATACGAAATAGTTTTAAAAACGCACTTAGCAATGATTGAACGCCAAGCAGCAGAGATAATAACTGCAGTGCGACGCTTATATGTTAAACTTGAAGAGGCTGAGCGTTTGTTGCATTATCACAGTCTGCTCATGGTGCTGTCAATTATGGTAAACATACTCCTTATAAAAAAAAGGAGGGGGCATTTGTGCGTTTCTATTGGCTCGCAGTTATTTGCTCCCGCCCCACGGCCGTCCTTCATGCTGTTCCTATGGTTCCCAGAGCTCTTATTGGGTACTGTAAAGTTTGGGACGGGACACAGGTCTGGCTCGGCATCTCTGCCGCTATTAGCTAGATCCACCTGTCCGTCAACCCGACTGTGAGACACCGCCCCGCCCACTTTTCAGTAGCGGCGACGCTGATTGGCTACTGTACCTGTCAGCGGCCTCTGATTGGTCAGCTCGCCCAGCTGTTAGTGGTTCATTCACCATTTTGTGACTGTAGTGGAAAAGGAGACCGATAGTTTTTTCACATCCTCGTTTGAGTTTCTGCGGGGGAAAGACATGTTTTGGCGGAGGAAAAGTAAAGCGCGAACCCGCTCCGCGAAGTCCTCGAAGCCGACAGCGAAGAGGGACATTACCGAGAGTTGTTCGAGTCTCCCCGTCGAAAAAATAAGACCGTAAATCTTTTCTCTGACGACAGAGAGCGGAAAAAGGCTCTGTTTTGGGTGAGTTGAAACTAAGTTAGTAGAGGTAGCGAAGCTCAACTTGACACGAATTTTCCATGTTTTGGAGCTAGCTTTAAAAACAATAGAAACTTGAACAAACAGTCGTCGAGTGTTCCCTTCCGTCCAAAGAAAACGGAGTGACAAGGCTTCCGAGCCGAGGAGGAAAACCCGAGAAGGGCTGGGAGCGTAACAGCCCGAGAAAAGGAGAAAACTTTCTGAAATGTTTYACCGCAGTCCCACGGAAACATTTAAGCCTCCCTTGGTTAGTATTACGRTCGTATCACCACTGGAAATCACTTTTTAATCGACCTCAGTTCTCGAGTTTTGCGCGGAGCAGCGCAGCAGCGTAGTAAAAAAAACACACAAAAACAACCGACCTATTTCGCAGCACTGCAGTCCGTGTGTTTACTAACATCCACGGAGTGAGTTGTTATATATACATCTGCAAATGACATTAAATAATATTTTTTTTAAAAAGAAAAAAATGTTTGCGGTCGTAATGTGAGCATCTTCTAGCTCTGGTCTCGTACTACGTCCACTACAACCACTACTACTAATGTTGAGCTGCTTACTAGAGCGAAAACACGAACAGATTCCTGCTTTTTTCCAAGTTTAGTTTTTTTTGTTTCATATGCTAGTGTCTTTTCAGGCAACACCGGGCTTCGCTTGTGTGCTTCCGTGTGTTACTTCGGGCGTTGTAGGGAGTATTTGCATGCCAAACGTGGTTGAATACAGAAGAATTACGGCTTGTGTCTGGTCGAGGTAATTAAACGTCACTTTAAACCGCTTGTTTGTGAGAGCCTGGAGTCATAATACTCCTTTGACATTGTGTGGCGTCTTCCTTTAGTAGTACTCACAGATCAGCGCAAAGACAGGGCACTCGGTGTCCCCCCCCCCCCCCCACACACACACACACACACTTTTATCCTCCACCATCCCGCAATCCACATTCCATGACACCGCTGACAGCTTTTCCTGTCTAATCCACCTGAATATTTTCACTTAAGGGTTTTAATTCTTCTTCCTTTTTTTTTAAACAGCACCCCCATCTCTCCTGCATGGTTTCCCCTCATACCCTTCATTGCCGCTCCTGTGTGGTCCTGATGGGGCTTGCTGAGCAGCTTGTATGCCATTGATGTGGCATTGGCAGTTCTGCCATTTGGTCCCAAACAAGAAGAGTCACCTCAGATCAATGCCCCGCGAACTCCTGATCATCCCTGGCCCAAGTGCACAAATGTCATCTTTTAGTTTTGTTCGTGTAATATATCTGCAGCCGTCCTCTGCACGGCTGCCAGTATATTCCTGGTAAAWGTGCTCTCTTTCACATGCATGCACGCAGAGCTCGTCCTCAACCTAAAACACCATATTCTTTTATTTGTGTCATGTTGTCTGTGCAATTACCTCCCACTCACTCATGAACATATACACAGAAACATCCGTTTTTTWWTTT